TACTGACATTAAGTCTTAGTTGGTGTCATTTCTTTCATGGACTATTTCTCTATAATCTGGATAGACTAGAAAATAGAGAGTAGAATCAGTCCAACTCAGTGGTTAAAGTGTTAATCAGGGTGTCAGTTCACTTCTCCTCAAAATATGTGACAAGGAGCAAAGGAGTGTGTGTGTCTATCAGCTGATCCTAAGAAAGAAAGTAAACACTCCCAACATGCACTGAGGCACAGGGAGTGGCTCAGGTTTCTAACATTTCCCTGCCGTGGTGAAAGGAAGTAATAATTAACTAACAGATTCTTGGGCTTGATGACCTTGTGTGAGTGAGTGAGTGTGTGTGTGTGTGTGTGTGTGTGTGTGTGTGTGTGTGTAGGACTCCCGGGAGCAGAGCCCAGCGGTGTGCAGGTGAGCCTTGTGCACCCCTCCTCCCACACTTGGCACGGACCTGGACCTCCAGGACAGGTGAGTGAGCGCTGACTTTCCGGCAATCAGAGTTTGTGACCCAGCAGGGGAACAAACTGTCGCAAGCAAGTTCAGCCCAACAATTAAGGTAAAAAGGTTCCTTCTGCTCTCAGTGTGAATAACAGGTGAAAACGGACATTACTTTTCCTCTTGATTTTTTTCAGAATGCTCTTTCCTGACCAAGTTATGACTGTGAAGAGAGGGAAAAGGAGGGAAGGAGAGGGGGAGGAATGGAGGTTAGTGCGGCCACTGTGAAGAGAGGGAAAAGGAGGGAAGGAGAGGGAGGTATGGAGGTTAGTGTGGCCACTGAGCCCCTCCTCCCTTAGCTTCAGGGAAATAGCTCAGTGAGCACTGGACCTGGAATTGTGCTTACTCTCCAGAGATACTGGACTCCCGCATGACATCCTCCTGTCCCTGAGTGTTCTTGTGGTTACAGTATTGTATTGAATCAGCTAGCATGGAAGGTATCTTAAATAGAGGGTTCAAACCTAGCCTGTTTGGCTCAGTGGATAGAGCGTCAACTTGCAGACTGAAAGGTCCCAGGTTCAATTCCTGTCTAAGGGCACATAGGTGAGATCTGGTCAGGATGTGTGGAGGAGGCAACCAATTGATGTGTCTCTCACATGGATTTTTTTTCTCTCTCTCTCTCTCTGTCTCCCCCTCTTCCATTCCCTCTAAAAATCAATGGAAAAATACCCTCAGGTGAAGATTAACAAAAATTAAATAATTAAATAATTACATGGGAGTCCATGAGTTAGGATAACATTCTGAGGCAGGAGAGCCATAGGTTCAAGTCCTGGCTTTGCCTCTTAGTATTTTGTTCCATAGCAAGTTAACTTATCTAAGCCTCAGTTTGTCATCTCTAAAAGTGAGCATCCTAATAGGAGCTGCCAATAGGGCTTCGATGAGCACTAAACACTGAGCGAGTATTCCATAAATGCGGCCTCCTGTTAGCCAAAAGGGCCAAATCAGGAAGCAGGAGCTGAGCAGGGGAGACCAGACATTGTGGATCCAGGACCTGTGAGCAGATGGCAGGTGGGAAAAGCATTGCCTTTCTTAGTAGCAAGGGCGTTATCTGGCTTCTTGCCATTTTTCAAATAGAGTAGATGGTGGCAAATTCAAACTTATTTGCTACTCAGTCAATTTTACTTTGGAAAAGTCACATGTATATTCATCTGTTATTTCTAAAACTAAAGTGTAATTTTAATAGGAGAATTTTACACAGTCCCATCTTGTGGAACCCATGATGTTGTCTGAGTTTAGTAAAAGAGATTGCCCCTTGAATAACTTGGAGAAAATTAGACCATAAGATTTCACGACCTTACATTGTAGTACATATTGTATTATTTGTATTGAAGTGATGTAGACTTTCGTTTGTGTTGATGGCCAATATATATAAAAGAATGATACCTGTTTTTTGTTGGTCATTGCCTCTTAAACTTAAATTATAGGCAAGGCACCTTATTTTTTGAAATTTTATTTAAAGGGAACTTTTGTTAATATTGCTATTAGTGTTTTTTTTTATAGATTTTTAAAAAATTTTTAAATATTTGGGAGGGAGTGGGGCAGACATTGATTGGTTGCCTCTGTATGTCCCCTGACTGGGGACCGAACCCGAACCAGCCACCTTTCAGTGTAAGGGACAATGCTCCAACCAACTGAGCTGCACCAGCCAGGGCAACATTGCTGTGACTTTTATTAATGTTGATAACTTTGAGGAAGACAGACTTAGTAGCTATGACTAGCAAAGTATTTCCATTGATGAAATGTTATCTTTTTATTTTACTAATATAAAACATTTAAGTGATTTGTAGTCAATCCTATTCATCATTTTTCTTTTTTGGTGAATGCTAATATTACCTGACTTTGTAAATTTATTTTTTTAAGGAATAGTTGTTATGCAATCTTATATTAGTCTTATTAGTTTCAGGTATACAATAGTGATTTGACATTTTTAGACCTTACAATGTGACCACCCTACTATCCTAGTAATCATCTGTCACTATGTAAACTTATGCAATAATATTAACTACATTCCCCTTCTCCTTTTTCACCCATTCCCCCAACCACTTCCTCTGGTAACTATCACTTTGGTCTCTGTTTTTATGAGTCTGCTTTTGTTTTGTTTTGCTTTACATTCCACATATGTGTGAAACTATATAGTATTTATCTTCCTCTGCCTCACATTTCATGTAGCATAATACCCTCTAAATCCATTAATGTGTCATAAATGGTAAGATTCCATTCTTTTGTTTAAAAATTTTTTATTGATTTCAGAGAGAAAGGGAGAAAGAGAGATAGAAACATCAATGATGAGAGAGAATCATTGATTGGCTGCCTCCTGCACGCCCCTTACTGGGGATTGAGCCCACACAACCCAGGTATACGCCCTGACCAGGAATCGAATTGTGACCTCCTACTGTATATGTTGATACTCAACCACTGAGCCACACCAGCCAGGCCATTCCATTCTTGTTTATTGCTGCTTGATATTCCATTGTATACAGGAGTGGGCAAAAGTAGGTTTACTGTTGTTCCTATGGACAAAGACATTACTGTTATGATTATTACATAGTGAATAAACTCTGTTTCCTGTACTCACCACTGCATATCTACTTTTTATCCATTCATCTATCAACGGACATGATTCTTTTTTCAAATTGTAGAGTTAAAATTCTCCAATGTAATTACAATTGAATATGGACTGGAGAATTGTGAATAGAATTATAAAACCAACCAAACTGAACTTGACTACATTATTGTCCTCTAGAGTCTGGTTGAACTTAGTGTGGTTTAGTTAAAAACTTACAAGAGTACTAAGTCCATTTAGAATAAATTTCAGTACTGGTATTTACTAAACATTTTTCAAAGCAAGAATATGCTTTTACGCTGAATAGATATTGTTAGTGCTGGAGTCGCCGAAGGAGGAACACATAAGGCCAAAGTGGTAAGGGCTTATAAATGTATTAGGTCATCTGGATACCAGGTGGGCTGAGCCCCCAAAATGGTGCCAGCACCCAAAATTGGGAGTCAGAAGTTTTTAAGGGACTCTAGGTGGGCTTTTTCTGGGTGGAGAATTCCCTGTTCCGGTCCGAATCCTGGAAAGGTCCAGAGGGGAGAGATAATGGTCTTTGCAAGTGGAATGTGGTCTTAGCAAATGGAATGTGGTCTAAGCAAAAGGGAATGTCCGTTGTGAAGTGGCCTGAAGGTCAGTTCCCAGGGGTGGGGTATCGATTCAATTATTTGATCAAACCTAACGGTTAGAACTTCTTAAACCAAGTTATTTGATTTTATTTCTTAATAGGCATATGTCTCAACAATGTACAGTACCATCAATTGAAATTAATCTATTTAACTATATTGGAGATTAACTTACTTGAAATTAACTTATTTAACCACATAATTGTAGGTAAATCTTCCTTGTTAAAGTCTGTTTTAGTATACATGTGTTTTTCTACTACTTCTAATGCATATAACATTTTAAGATAGACTATTAAATGTTTTCGGGATGGGAAGAGAGAGAGAGAAAAAGAGAGAGAGAGACAACCAACAGTAATTAAGAAAAAATTAAATTTTCAAATATATTCAAAATAGTATTACATGTATGTAACATGTCTTTAACATGTAATTCAAAGATTTACGTCTTATATTTGTTTTAACTCTGTAAAATAAGAAGCATAGTGCACTTTCATTTGAAATAGAAATCTAATGCTAACAGTCAACTTACGTTACAAGCAGGTAGGGATTTTAGGGTTGTTATACATACATGGAGGAAAAAAAGAAAAAGAAATACATGGGCTTCATAGAAAAGTTTAGATTTTTAAAACATATTCAAGTATGGGTCAATTGAAAATACAGCCTCTGAGAAAGAACATCTTCTAAATATTCTCTTTGCAGCCAAGTCCAGGGTTAGAGAGGATTAGGCCCTGTTACAAAATTAAACTTATATCTGTCACAGCTGTCAAATACTATGTAGTGATTTCATCCCTTCATAAAAGCATCTCAAGTACAAAACCAATATTTCAGGTGTCTTCCTTTTAAGTGATGAGGGTACTATTTTAGTAGCTGAAATGATTAAAGACAACTTTTCATCATCATCATCCCAGGCTTAGTAAATGGAGCTCAAGAGAAGAGAGCCTCCCAATTCTTTTGTAGCCAACATATGAACAGAAAAGATGAGTCCTGATGCCTGTGAAGCCACCTTAGAATGTCCTTTTGGAAACTTAGATGAAGTAGGAAATCCTTGAGCTGGGCCACAGCAGCAATTCCAGATGTGTTGGCAGACTGAGCAGCTCCCTTCTAGACTGTGCGCTGGTGAGATTCTTTGAGTCCTGACATGGCTTACAGCTAGCCTGCTTCTTCTACTGCTCTTGCTGCCCTCACTTCCCCAGCACACTCTGGGGAGAACAAAGCGCGTGGTCTTAGCACTGTGTAAATATGAAATAGACTCTTAAAGGCTTGGCATTTCAAATTGGATTCTACTGGAACTGAGAGCAATGACATGGTCACATAGACGTCTGGTTGTTTGATCCACATCCTGTTTAGTGCTGTCTTAAATCCAAGTACTTCTTTGTTTATTTTTATCTCAAAACAAACATTTTTCTAGCTGCAATCAATATCACTTAATGAAATGATAGTTTAAGTAACCCAACTCTGAACTTTTTGTCATCTCTGCAAATTAGAAAAACTATGGAGACAAATGTTTCTCAGAATCCATACTTTTCTTGATTCTTTTGGATAATGGATAGAATTGTAGTTTTGGGTTTTTTTAAGATAATTGTATGTAGATCTTTTCTTCTCAACATTGTAAAATTATGACCATCTTGACACGAATCCAGGTCAGAGCTTAGAGAAAAATTTATTTTCTTTATAGCTTTATTTTGGAACTGAATACATATTTGTAACTTTCTATTGCCTCTTCAAGCCAAAACAATAATTTAAAAAAGAACTTCATGTATATAATCTTATTTAATAATTGAAATATACACTTGCTATTTCAA